CATATCCTGAATAATCCAAGAATTTTACTTTTAGTTCCACGTAATGGCTTTATACATATTTTTAGAAATACTTTTGTCCTTTATTTAATTTCTAACAATGTTATAAACCAGACAAGATGTTACTGTTGGGGCTTTCAATAGTCAAAGGTCTTCTCGTATGTTTATGTATGTATTCACCTTTTCCTGTGGTATTTATGGACTGATTTATTTTGCACTTCTATCCTTTTATCTAGGATTATTTTATTCAATTTTAGAATATCTTTTAGTAATTTGTATACTGTGTGACTACATTTTATACAGTTTTAAAGGGAGGTTAGGTCTGTACCAGCTATTTTGTCATGGCTCTTCAGAAATAAGTTTCTCTTTTTTGTTTTTAATTTGTAGTTTGACTTTTTGCCTGATTTTAAAAACTTTATTGGGAAAGAATTTGTTTTTAAAATGCAAAACGTTATTGAGGTATAATTTGTAACCATTTTAGGTGCACGGTCTGGTATGTTTTAACAAATGGAAGTACCTGTGTATCTACCACCACAATCAAGGTAAAAACCTTTCCAGTACCACATATAATTTGCCGTGTCCCTTCTCATCAGTCCTCTGTTACCTGAAGCCCCAGATAGCTACTGATCTGCTTTCTCTCACTATGGATTAGATTTGTCCTTTTTAGCATTTCCTATGAATGGGATCCTACAGTATACACTGTCTTGTGTCTGACTTGTTTTGTTTATCCTAATTTTTTTATTTATTTATGCATTTGTGTGTATCAGTAATGGAAATATGCCATAATCTATTACCTATTGCTTCCAGTTTGGGGATATTATTAATAAAACTGCTACATAGATTCATTTGCAAATATTTGTTAGGCATATGATTTAAACTCTCTTGGGTAAACATTTAAAAATAGATTTGTAAAGTTGAATGATAAGTTGAATGACAAATGTGTATTTAATATTTTAAAAAATCGAGTTTTCTCCAGACTGGCTGTACCATGTTATATATCTACCAGAAATGCATAAAAGTTCTTATCGATCCACATTCTCAATAACATTGATTTTAGGTTTTTAAATTTTGGTCATTTGATTATATGTGTGTGGTCTTATTATGTGTGAATTTATATTTCAGTAATGGTTAATAATGTTGAACAATTTTTCATCTTCCTGGTGGTGATTCAAATATCCTTCTTGGAGAAGCATGTGTTCAGATCTTCTGCCCATTTCTCATTGGGTTGTTTTTAATTATTAAATTGTGGTATATCTTTATAATTTTTTTATTCAGTTCTTTATTGGATATATGAATTACAAATATTTATATCTAGTGTGTTTTTGGCTTACTCATTTACTTATTAATATCACTGGAAGAGCACAAATTTCTAATTTTGTTAAAGTCCAACTTTTGACTTATTTCTATGGTTCATGTTTTCTGTCCTCCTTGAGAAATCTATATCGACCCCAAGTTTACGAAAGCTTCTCTCCTACTCTTTTTTGTCCTAGAAATATAATAGTTTTCGCTTTCACATCTAGGTCAATAATCTCATTTAAGTTAATTTTTGTATATAAAGTGAAGTAATTGATTCAAAGTTTGGTTCTTACTCAGGGATAGACAGACTTTAAGGCATAATTCATTGAAAGTATCACACTTTTTTCTTCAAAATGCCTTGGCACTTTGGCTAAAAGTCAACAGACTGCTATGCATAGGTCTCTTTCTGGACTCCATATTCTGTTCCACTCGTCCACATATTATCTCCATCTTTAAACACACAGGTTTTATGCTTCTGTGCCTACTGTGTGCACCATGTGCCTTCAGTGTGCACCTTTATTTCCCAAATCCTCAAGCGGCCCTTTTATTATTTAAATTAATCCTTTTGACACTTGATTTTCTTTTAATTTCCTTCTAGTATCCCCTCAATGCTATTAAGATCTAACCTATTAAAGGAGTTCAATAGCATCAGGGAACTGAAAGAGCAACAGTGGTGGCCCTTTCATCCTTTGCTATCTTTCATGACCATGCCATCAAGAAGCAGCTGCTTTTGTAAGTACTGTCTCTGGAATTCTTTGAATTTACAACCTCTAGAAAGGTCTTTGAGTGTTATTGTGAGAAATAATACTGTAAGGAAAGGTCCAATAACAGATTTGTATAAAACTCCTGAAGATTTCCTTTCTTGGACTTACTCGAGAAATGTAGGGGGGGTGGTGGTTACTTTTCCCTGATCTGACCTCTCTTCATGCTACTATTGAATAAGAGACGTTTCCTTTTCCATGTTAGGAAACAGATGTTTAACAGCCAGCACAAAACAAGGAATACAGTGACCAGTCCTCTTGCTTACTTAACTGTAGGCTTCTGCCTCTCCCAAGCTACACCTTCAACCAAATAATTTTACCTGAAACTTCCACAGGCGCTCAAACCAAACATTTCCAAAGTCAGACACTTTCATTCTACCCTAAGAACATATCCTTGTTACTTTCTCTATTTTGATAAGTTATATCACAATGGCCAAATCACATGAACTTCTCCACCAGCTTTGCTTCCTTACACAGTGGGCTCCTATTTGCCTTCCCTTTCCCTGCTCCCAATTCTCCCTGCTGTTGTCTGAACTTGGACTTTGGTGTTTTTCTTTCTTGACATACAGTCAAAAAAGCTCTTTAGTTGCTGCCCTAAAATTCACCTTCCTTCCGTCTGTCTTCCATGTTACCACCGGTCCCTAAATAAAAATACTATCATATTACAGTATTTAAATAACTCTCCAGAACTTGCAAGATAAAAATCCTTCTTCCTAGTATTGTATGCAAATTTTGTCAAGATTTGTTTGATTTTTGTAACTCATAAACTTATGAAGACTATACATCTTGTATATTGGGACTACAAACTTCTTAAAAGGAGGTCTTTGCCTGTTTATTTTGTTTTGTACTCATTGTACATAGGACACGATAGCCACTCAGTGTATATTTATTTATTGAATGGATAAATAGGTAGATTGAGCCAGGTTAAAATTAATTAACATACACTGGTGTTAAAACTGTATAGTATTTAACAAATACACACACATACAAGTGAGTAAAACTAGAAAAATCTGAATAAGATTTGTGGATTATAATAGTGTCAACATCCTAGTTGTGATATTACACTATAATTTTGCTAACTGTTACCATTGGGGGAAACTGGGCAAGGTATAACAAGGACTCTCGCTGTGTTATTTCTTACAACTTCATGTGATTCTAAAATTATTTCAATAATGTTTTCAATTAAATAAAGATATTGACATTCATCTTATATATCTTTGTCAATAATTTACTTTCAAAATGGCTGTGTGTGATACATATTGCTACAGTGTTTTGAATCCTTTAGCATCTTTCCAAGTCAAAACTAATAATGGATCTCTCCTTGGGCACCCAATGCACTTACAACATTGTAACCTGGATACTGCGACATATTTTCCCCCTTGCCAGACAATGACTTTGGTGAATGCAGAGACCTTGTCTGTTGTTTTTGTGTATCTACTGTTTAGCATGTAACTTAACACCCAATAAATATCCCATAACATTTTAGGTAAACGTAAGTTAGATATAACAGTGTGATGTTACAGAGAAGTGTAAGAATCCAAGTGAATCCAATGACTAAGTAATTTTGGTTTATTTCTACCTCAGTTTTTTCCTTTGAGAAATGAGCTGAATTATATAATTGGTCCATACCAATCTGATTTCTTGGTGTGAAAACCAAGAATATACCTCTTATATTCATCATCATGTCATGATTTACATAGGTTATGCTTACCAAGTTAGTATGTTTTTCTTCTCAATATCACTGCACAGTTTACGTAGAGTAAGATATGGAAAGTTAGCACTGAAGGAATGTTCTCGCTAAAGCATCTTTGAAATGCAGCTGCTGCAAACCTGAGGAGTTTGAGAAATGCTTTTCAGCTCTAGCAGCTGCCTTCTAGTTTTCTTTTTCTCTTCATGGTATGCTAGGCAGAGTTGGCATGACCAGCATACCTGTAGTATTTAAATTAAGCATTTATTTTGAGAAAAATTATTTACACTTTAAATATATGTATTTATTTGGATGACAGATTATAAGGTTCATGGTCCAAGACTTACCTACCCAGAGAGTGTCCAGAGTCCATTTCATATACTTTAAGTCTAATGGATGTGACTTACAGACATAGTCTAATTACATGGGAAATATTATCTAATACTTTGTTCTAAATTGAGGGATACTCTCAAATTTTTTGACTGCCTATTTTTGTCTCTAAGATTATTTGATCATTTTTGTATATTTATTATTTATCCTCTGGTAACTTATAAAAATAATTTTAAAATTGCTAAAAATGGAAACTTGGCATTGAGGATAAGAGATTGGCAGCTCCACAAATATGGAAGGAAAGTCTAGACAGTTGTTATCAGCGACCAATACAATGTGTGCAGTGTATGCAGTTCATAAATGGACAAATATTTACTCTCAGAGATCTTTCAGGTCTAAGTAAGAAAAAAATATTAAAGAGTTATGTGGTTTTTATTGGTTCATGAATGTGAATAAAGCCACTCTTCTTGAGAACCAAGCATTTTTGTCTAGTATTTTCTAAAGTAAAAAGTTTGTAATATGGATATTAAATTATGTAGTTATTTATGAATGTTACAATGAATTTTTCAATATGGAAAATTTAAAACATGAAAAGAAAGATTTTTATAAGGCTTTGACTTAAATTACACAAAATAAACTGTAAGAACATTATACTGAATAGCAATTGTGGAAAATACTTATATAAGAAAAATAAACTACTTTTCTGATTACTTAATGGAACGTGAAAAGAATAGACTATTATCCTTTCTCTTAGATTATCACCATGAAATGACTGCTTTAACTAGGATTCTAACAAACGCTCTGCAGAAAAAAATGAAAGATTAATTAACTGTCCAATTAAAAATTAAGACTGGATAATTGAAATGCTCCACTCAAATGTAATGCTCATATTGAAGATTTAATTTATTTACAAATAAAAAAAAGAAAAGTTAGCCACATCTGACTTTTCTTGACGATTTACCCTGAGAGAATACTGATCCATTTTTCAGCTTCAACAAAGCTTTCTTTACCTCCTTGTTTCTCAGGGTGTACACAACAGGGTTGAAAAGAGGAGTCAGCGTGGTGTAGAAAATGGCCACAACCCCATCCACGGCGTCCCTGGAGCCTGGCCTCAGGTAAATGAAAAGACCAGGGCCAAAGAAGCAAAGGACCACGATACAGTGGGAGGCACAGGTCTGAAAGGCTCTGCGTCTCCCCTCTGAGGTGCGGATCCGCAGGATGGAACAGACGATGGACACATAGGACAGCACTATCAGGAGAAAGCAGCCCGAGGCCACTACCCCAATGTTCACAAAGATGACCATCTCATTGGCTGAGGTGTCTGCACAGGCCAGTTTCAGGATGGGCGGTGCGTCACAGAAGTAGTGCTGGATCCGGTTGGGTCCACAGTAGGGCAAATGGAAAGTCAATATGGTCTGGACAGCGGAGTGCAGGGAGCCACTGAGCCAAGTGCCGATGGCCAGGAGAGCACACGCGCGCCCACTCATCATGCTGGTGTACCTGAGCGGGTAACTGATGGCCAGGTAGCGATCATAGGACATGACCGTGTAGAGGAAACACTCGGTGCTCCCCAGGAAGTGGAAAAAATAGAGCTGAGCCACGCAACTGTGGAAGGAGATAGCCCTGCCACTTGGGGACACCAAGGTCATCAGCATTTTGGGCACCGTGACAGTGGAGAGCCACATGTCAATGAAGGACAGGTTGGTGAGGAAGGAGTACATGGGGGTGTGGAGGTGAGAATCCACCCTGATCACCAGCAGGATGAGGAGGTTCCCCAGCACAGTGAGCACGTAAATGACCAGGAAGGCTCCAAAGAGTGGGGCGTCCAGCGCTGGGGCATGGGGAAGTCCCGTGAGGATGAATGCTGTCACGAAGCTGCCGTTGGACATTTCTTCTCATATATGAGGCTCTGTTCTTACAGAAAGGAAGGGAGGCAGCATTTACTGTGAGCATGTTTTATATGAAATATGGCAACTATATTTTTCTGATTGAGAACACTGGGGTTAAATTATTTTTTATATTTTATAAATTCCTTTTGCTTCAGTATGGGTCTTTGAAGAGGAATAGCACTTTCTTATTCCAGTACCAGAATAAGCCATATACAGAAGAGGAGGAGATTTACATAAAATCAGCCAAATGTTGAAAAGAAGAACAAATTTTGTATCCTGTTTTGTGTAGAATTGAAAAAGATATACTCAAATTAGCAACACTTAGGTGCTGGGAAGCTCTTTCCCGGGATAAGCCTTTATTCAAGCATCTTCTCTCTTTTTCTCTCACACACACACATATATAGATATACATGCGCACACACATTCTCTCTCTGTCAACACACGCACACACACAAACACTTTCACACATACAGATTCAGTCTGTTTGATCATTAGAGAATTTCTATTACAAATACAAATTTCTAAAGCAATCTTCATTCTGGCTGAGAGAATGGGAGAAAACCGCCTTCTCAGAGCTCTCTGGCCAGCTGCATAACTAAGGCAGGATTCCAGCAGTGGTTTAGCATTATGTGGAGCCAGTCTTCTGTTCCTTTGTCTTACCCTAGATCAGGGGTCCTCAAACCCCAGGTCAGGGACTGGTGCCGGTCGGTGGCCTTTTAGGAACCAGTCGCACAGCATGAGGAGAGCTGCCAGCAAGCGAGCATCACCACCTGAGCCCAGCTTCCTGTCACATCAGCAGGGGCATTAGATTCTCATAGGAGTGGGAACCCTATTGTGAACCGCACATGTGAGGAATCTAGGTTGTGTGCTCCTTATGAGAATCTAACATCCTCCCCCTCACCACCCCAGACCCCACCCCAGTCCATGCAAAAATTGTCTTCCTCTGAACCAGAAACTAGTCCCTCGTGCCACAAACGTTGGGTACTGCTGCCCTAGATCATACCTTCCTGGTCATATACAAAGTTTGACCCCCAAACTAACACAATAATGAACAGTACCGTCATTTTCTTTAACTTCCCTTGTTCTATGTCTCTTTCTATTTATACGTTTTTATTATTATTTACTTCCCCAGAATTTCAGGCAATTAAGCCTTCTCTTTCTAAAGTATGATCAAATAATCTCACAATACATTTTGAGATAGCCAAGAAGAATTGAGCCTGCTTGAGTAGTAAGAAAGACTAAACTTTCTCTGATGTTTGAGTTTCAGAACTGAATTAAAATAATAATATAGTTATTATAAAAATACAATTGACCTTCTAAAAATAAAAAAGTTTATTTTGTTTCCATTATTTCTAGGATTTCTATTATTTCAAAGCTCAGACTCAAAGTTTTACTTTTTTTCTTTAACGTATGGACACAATGTCCCAGACATTATATTTTCAAGAGAAAATAAATTAAAATTTGTGAAGAAATTTAGGGAAATGTGGTTGGAGACCTGGACCTCTAGATAGAAGAGAAAAGAAGCATTTCTTCATTAATTTCTAAAATGCTTCTGTCATACATTAGCAATACATTTTTATTTTGGGGGATCTGATGGAAGCAGACTTTTCCATCATGGAATTCAGCTGAAACTGAGTTGGAAACTCAGAGTTGCAATGCTAAGGTTTATAGAAAAAGCACTTCATTGATTTATGGTTTCACAACATTTTTAGTCTTCTACAGAACCACAAAAAATTGGCTCTGTAAGTCATGACTAAGATAATCTAGCTTCATTAGCCAAAGTTGATGAAAAATGAAGAGAAACAAAACTAAGACCATAAATACATCGCAATTACTTCCCCTCAAAAAGTATCTAATAATGAAAAATGCTGAAGTGTTGCCAATTTTTGCTACTTACCAATTTTACAACTAAGTTTTGGATCATGAAGCAAAATTCAAGATTTAAAGAAAATGTCAGTTCTTGATGAGTAGTATAATTTTTCTTTTCTTGCAAAGATGAAACCACAGAAGAAACTCTTTTAAAATAGAACTTAATACGAGTTTGATATCTTAGGAGACACACTCTTGGCTCTAGAGTCCTTATGAATGAAGATAATGTTTTGATATAATGATTAAACACTTAGAATTTTTTCCAAATGCATCTGTTAAAGTTGATTCTGCATTTGATGGCCATCATTCAATAAGCCTTTTTATTTAGCCAAAAATAAACTTCCAAAATTAATAACTATGACACTCTGGATTTGAAAACTCCTTGTGCAGGAAATGATTTTTTTCCTATTTCTTCTTTAAATTTAAAAACAGAAAATATGGGTTTTAGTTATAAAGAAGATAATTATCTGAAGAGGTGCATAGTCTCTCTGATAAATCTTTAACTTTCTGGTGAGTCACAAAAAGAAGCTCCAGATTTTCTGTGCTCCAGGGATGATCAGAGTATTACTCCCTGTAGATAAACATCTTCCTTATTAAACTTCCTCCCTCTGGGGCTTGGCAGACTCTTACTGTGCAAGTTCCTGGCTGAGAATGGATGCTAGTTCAGAGACTTTCTGTTCTTCTCAGAGACTGTGCCTTTATACTTTCTTATCGTCTAAACTTTAAAATGTATTTAAATTTTCTGTGAAACTTTCTTTTATTTTTTAGCTTTAATTAATACAATTAAAGAGAATGAAGGTATGCTTTTCTTCCATAATTAATATATTTCTTAGTTATTAGGAAAAAGCTTTTATGAAAACAACAAGAAAAACTGTTTTAACGTAGATGCCCAAAACACTGTTAGTTTTGGAGGACAATTGCAGTTTCATGAGCTTTTTGTGCTAATAGAAATGCTCTCATCTGCATATGGAAAATATAGTCCTATATGGAATGGAATTTGAAGAACTGAAGTCCCCTGAATTAATATTTTTTCCAATTAAATTACCAAATTACCAATTTTTCTGACATTGGTTATCCATTTAGTATAAGGCATATTTAATCAATGTAAAATCACAATACTATTTTAGTAATTACTTACAATTTAGCTCCAGTTATATTTCAAAATCTCTTTATCAAATATATGCTATCAATTTTTGTTAATTGAAACTTCTATCCAATTTTCTGTACTTACCTTTGTGAATACTATTAACTTGTATTTTCAGTTTAACTTATCAATTTTCTTGGTATACAGTATACAGTTATATGATCTTTATAAAATGATACTTTTGTCTTTCTTTCCAAAAGTAAACATTTGTTATCTTTCTTTTCTGTCTTGCTGTATTGGTAGAAAACACTATTGTTGCCCACCTAGCTATGGTTTAGGAATTACTTAGGTCTGCTGTGAGTGCTAGACAACTTGTCTGTGCCTTTTTCCAGGAAGAGGAGGTCAATAGTAACATTTACTGAGTTTTAACTTCTTCAAGAAAAAGAAGGGAATTATCCATCATTTTTGGCTGTTTCACTAAAACCCAGTGGGATTCTACATGATAAACAAGCCAGAACCTCTAAACATCATCAAGAATTCTGGATTGATAGTTCTTTGCATATGGAAAAAGGCACAGCTGAATCCACCCACATAGTCTGGTGACTTGTTGATACTGTAACAAAGACTAGAGAAGGGTAGAAGTCCAGGCACTCCTGTTTACCAACTATATTCATCATTGGGCCTCCTCTGCCACTGAGCCATTTCTCTGTTTTTTTCACAATTACTTTTGCTATTCAAAGTCTTTTGCATGCCCATATAAATTTTACACAAAAAAATGTTTATTTACACACACAAAAGCCTGCTGTGATTTTGATTGGAATTGCATTCCATCTATCAATAAATTTGGGAGAATTGATATCTTAATAATTCCATATTGTTTGATCACAAATACTGTTGATCTCTTTTGTTTCTCTGAACAATGTTGTATAGTTTCCATGTTCATATCCAGTACATTTTGTCAGATTTATCACTAGGAATATTTTATTTTGATGCTATTTTAAATAGTACTTTTAAAATTTCAACTTCCAACTATTTGTTGTTAATATATAGAGTTGATTAATTATTGCATATCAATCTTATATCGTACAACTCAGCTAAACTCACTTATTAGTTCTTATAGCCTTTTTAGATAGTCCATCAGATTTTCTACATAGATGACCATGTTGTGTGCAAACATAGATAGTTTACTTCTCATTTACAATCTAGATTCCTTTTACTTCTTTTTCTTAGCTAATTTTTCTGTCTAGAAACTGTAGTTAAATGTTGAATAGAAGTGGTGGCAGTAGACATGCTAGGTTCTTGATCTTAGGGAAAAATATCTAGTTTTTTACTGCTAAGCATGACGTCAGCAGTGGGTTGTTTTGTGGTGCTCGTTTTGTTTTTCTGTTTAATAAATGAGATTGGTTCCTTCTATCCCCTAGTTAGCTGA